TCTTGCACAAACTTGGGATCAAAGAAGGAGACGGGTTAAATATTCAAGATGCGGTTATAGGTCGCAAGTTATAGAGGTACAGGTGACCCGGGTCGAGATTCGTTGGACCCGCCTTTACGATGTTGACGAATTAATGAAGGTCAAGATTTTATACTGCTTCTGTCAGCTCACGAATACATCGGTCGAAGTTGACCATAAAATATCTAAACACTTTGATGAAAGTACTTTTAAAAAGTATTTGTAGAACAGGGAAATTACCCATTAAAAATTCATTAGACTAGGCTACACCACCAAATAAAACTAAGAATTTATTTGATACCAAGCTAGGCATCTTAACTTTTATAAGTAAAAACGGTAAAAGATACTTCTAAGGTGTACAGTACGACATTGGCTAAGTTCAAGTTGACCTGTTAATGGAGCGCACCGCGTGACACATACAGTTTCTCTTTTCACGGCAGTTTTACATTGAAATGCACATAAAACTATTCTCCGTCACGGCGAGCAGCGCGGCGTCCGGTAAGCCGCAGTAAATTCAGCGCGTCAGTACATATCACAAGGTGCACGTACTCCTTGTAAAATATTCAAGGCGACGGTCGCGGCGCCGGCGCCAGGACAACAAATAAAATACGTCTAAAACTCCGAGGAATACGTACCGAGTGTTAACAGCTCGATACAATACTTGTATTTGTTACAAATAGCACTACTTGATAAAAAGTTTCCTCTATGCTCTAAAAGTTTATTTGTAAAGGTTATGACCTAACCTTTTCTGAAACTTACTGATATTGACGTCATTTGTTTAAAATTGATAAAAAAACTTTACTGTAACTGTAAATTAAAAAGTAACCAATATAAGTTGCAAAGAAAAATGTTATTCAAACAATGAAAAGAAAATAAAAGATTTAAGTTACCCGATGAAGATCTAAACGATTTAAACCCGAGGCTCCTTTCCGCTTTTTTTTTAAAAAATGATTTGTTAAATCGACGCTACGATAAAAGGAAGAATCTTTTCAAATTTTCTCCCGTTTACCAATTACGTCGTTATCTCGCAACTCTAACTGAATAAAACTCGGCGACGTTTCATCATTTTCGCGTGGCGAAGTTTTAGTTAGTTTTTGTTCAAACTTCTGATTTACGACCATCCCGGGGCATCTCTCATGGCGCGACGCACCCCAAGCCCCCTAGCTCTGCTCTAATAAAGAAATTTGCGCAAAAAAGTTCTTTCGCCGTTCATCTTTTTGTGATAATGTAGTAAGCAAGTACTGAGAATTGATTACATAAATTATATGCAAGAAATACTAACACATAGAAAATTAAATTAATCATTATGTCTGTTGAAAGAAAAAAAACCTAACGCAACAAAAAAGCTTTAACTTTTTATACATAAATAGTAATTTAGTATTACAAGCAGTATCGATATTGTCCCAATGACCTATAACAAAAGAGTTTGATAAAGAATTTTACGTATTCCAACCTTTTGCGTTCTGTAGGCCACGAGGAAATACAAATTGCCTTCTTTAACATATGGCACGCTCAAATTTGCTGCCGACTGCGAAAAAAATTGTACCTACTTACTGATGCTCTCATTGCAAACCGATTTTCTTTTACTATTCTAGAGTATTAGGTATGTTTTCTTGACCAGTTGTAGGACTGAATGGGAATGAGTACGACCTTTTATCAATGTGTAACAAACAATAGATCTTCAAAGTCATTAAAGAAACAATCATCAATGGAATTAACCAGAAGTTTTACCCTTCACTGGCCACTGGATTTTAGTAAGAATTTGGTCTTTAATTTTTAGTCAGTATCCATTTCTGGTATCAATAGTTCTTGCACAATTATCTTGTTAACAAAGTTAACAATACACAAGTAAGATTATGATCCAAAGTTCTCCGTTATTGCTTGGCATCTTAAGCTCAGAGTTAACGCTCCCAAAAGTTAACGAGTTTAATTTTCTAGTTTAATTTTCATTAAAATCAAGCTTTATCAAAGATTAAATTTAAAGTTTCGATAACTTTAATGTGTTCAATAGCAAGGCGTAACTCGACATCATGATTGGAGGAAATAACAATTAAGATAATTATAGTTAAAATGTGTTTAACATTTCATTGCTATTGTGATATTATCCTTGTGTCAATTAGTGTGTGTGTGTGTGTGTATTTTTGTTTAAAACGACGTTAACAAAAGTAATAACGTTATTAAATGTTGAAAAACTATTAAAACCCAATCGTAGCTTCTACCAAAAGGTAAGTGTGGATAGTTGTCACAGTTTTAGAAGCACTTATGCTTCACATCGTGCCCTTTGACGCAGCCAAATGCATGCAAAAAGTCAAAATAAACGTTGAAACTCTATGCCAAAAGCCAGCATCAACTTTTTTTGTCCTCTCTATGGTACTTAGAAGAAATTTGATAATAATACACTTACTACTTACTAAAAAGTAAATTAAAAAAATGAACTTGTTATAAATTTAGAAACATTTACGATGGTATATTGTAGAATTACGTGATTTAGTTGTTGTAAGCTTATTGGGGCAACAGATGGCGTGTGCGTTGCGACACTAGCGCCAAACACTTTACGAGCTGCCCGTGGTGTGAATTGCAACTAACACTTTTAATGGAACAGAACGGGGATCTACTATTTTACGAATTATAGACAAAATCGTCAGACATACAGATTAACATTTCTGTGTATACGTACATACTTATACCTTAGTCCTCTACACAGATCCAAATAAAATCGAAGAATGTAACAGCATGGTAGGAATCATAGCCGCGTTGCATGCTTTAAAATGGCATCAGAAATTCGAGTACATTTTTAACAAAAGGGAGGGAGCAGGAAGCCAATAGAATTAACTAATTAATATCCGGTGCAAAGCAGACGCTATGTAAAGGACAGGTCGCCGGCGCAAGTCCTTTGTGTGGCGTGATTAGCCGGGTATTATGTCATATGTGTTCGTAGCTCGCAGCTCGCAGCTCGCACGCTGTCAGGGAATTAGTTTGACATCACCGTACAGCCTGGGAAGACTTATAAATCTTAATTAAGGTTTGGTTATATAAAATCTTAATACATTCATCAGTAGCTCTACTTGGAAGAAACGAGTTTTTTATCTTTTCAGAGGTATTCTATTTTATTCCGTGTGCTAGTTGCGAGTATATTTCAAAAGGTTTATGGTGAAACGTAAACTCGGAATCGAAACTACGGATCATTATTTCCAATTTGGTTGTACACTGGGTTGCATATTAAAGTTTAAATTGTACGTACACTGCGGCGCAGCGCGGTGTAAGTCTGCATTAACTGTCTCCGGGGAGACGGCTGCTTGACTGCGAACTTAGTAGAACAAAACTTTTGTTTCCTTTCATCTTACATATTTATTTGTGTGGAAACTTTGAGGTACATTTTTGACGTACAATTAATAACAATCATATTAAAATCTTCCAGTTACAGTTGCAAGTTATGATGTTTTTATGTACACTAAGTTGGTCGTTTCTAAAATAATAAACAATGTATGTAACTCCTTATCTCTTTGGTGATATTCATCTAGTAAAAGAGCTAGTATATGCTATCCGCTGAAGATGATCGCTAACGCTCATTACTAGATACAGTGTCGATGACATTCCTTCGAGACGAGAGCAAAGTATCGGCGCAGTTGTCTGCATAATTCACTTTATTGCCACCGACTGCCGCTCCCCGCTGCTACTACACCTCCAAGATATTCTGTCATAATATTATCTGGTAACATTTCGTACACCATTTCCCACCGTAACTGATATCCACTCGAGACCAAATACAAACCAATTAAAATCGTTCATTACAACGTAATTGAGATTGAGCACAACTATTTGAGATTCACTGCATTGGTTATTTGCAATTTACCATGAAATAGGAGAAATAACTTCGGGGAATGTACGAGTACACAAGGATATTTGAATAGAATGTTTCATATTGAACCTTAAAATTAAATCGTAAATGCAATAATGAAATTGTTATATCAATTTCATTAGCGATAACTAGGTCATTTAGAAAATTGCAATGCAAATATATTTAAATTTTTCACCATTGTTTTAGTATCAATAATGTAGTTGTTGAGCGATGTTCACTTCCGCTTCCTAAACTTAACTTCGGCAAATAGGTTTACGTTCCATTGCTCTTATTTCCTCGGGGAAATCATTCAGAGCTTTGTAAGGTGTCTTCAGCCTTTCAGAACATCCACAGCTCCACAGCTCGCACGCTCCTGCACTGCATTTATTTTCAGTTTCAGCGTGAAGTCATTTTGTACTTCCATTAAATAAGTCTGTCTTTCCGATATTTGAGTTGCTTTATTGTTACACTTTTTAAGAACAGAATAATTAAAAAAAAACAATACCAGACAGTCAAATTTACTTTACGCAGATCTGTGTCTGGTTAAATTATTTCCCAACCCGACCACGCAACGTCAATACGTTGTATTCAATAACCTCGGCAATATAAAAGCTATTTATGTTAACAGAGTGTAGTTTAGACAAGCTTTAAAAGTGTATTTCATTTTTATAGCCGTTCGTTTCGCGTCCCACGCTCCTTATCGCGGAGTGGGGCGTTATTTTATTATTGATATCGTCAATGGTCCGCGCGCTCTGCGTTATGGAGGTAATATATTTTTTAATACTTCCGACTGTAGGTGGAAAGCGGCGATAAACGGATACTAAACGTATTTAGAGATATCTTCAACATTTATCACAAAGGGCCTGTTCACAAATTTTCTATTGTTACGATTATAACTTCCGCACGGAAGGAGCAGCGTAGCAATGAACGCGGAGGTTACCTTATTTATGACACACGTTTTACTTTATTTGCAAATTTTGAAAGTAGAATATGACTGAATAAAGTCATGTGGGCCGTGATCTAACCCACCGTAACAACCACGACTGTGCTTCTCTTACATATATAAGTCAAAACTTAAGTATTTAATAATTACTATAGGAGTGTTAAGAGCTTGTATACCAAGGTATGTATGTGCATCTGATAGGTGAATCAGTGAAGGACGCCACTGTCTATATTCACGTAGGAGACAGAGCGGAGAGTTCGACTAAATTGAATGGGCCGGGAGACGCATTATCGCCTTGCTCGGAAACTAATTGATACTGTTGCAGCTGCAGGTGTTTCGCTTTAATGGAAATAGCATTTCGCTTCATGTATTTACTTTTATTGAAATAATAGAATTGTAATGTAAAATGAGATCTTAAGTTATCGCTTATCACTTTTCAGAGATTTATTTTTAATTTATAATCTGCGTTAGGTAAGTGCAATATTACGAGTATACGCTCAAGTAAATAGAGATTCAAAGCAATGGTTTTGTCAGCGCGGTGTGGTCTAACCGTCGTCGCTGTATAAATTTAATCAAACGTTAATAGCCGCGGCAACCGCAAACCTTCGACTCTCAGCCCGACCGACGTCTGTGCGGAAAATTTAGTCATTAATTAACTTTAAAGTGCAAATGCCATTAATATTCTCGGAAATTGCAGTTCAAGTTTTATAAAAACATACAGCAAGCCATTTCTAAAGTTATTCCACGTTAAAAACATTCAACTATTTATGCCTACATCTTCTGAAACGATGAAAACTATGAATATTTCATTTTACCCTCGCGTACCCGCACTCGAGGTTGCCGCTCGAGATCACGCCGGCGCGGCGGCGGCGGGCGGCGACGGGCAGCGGCGGGCGGCGGCGGGCGGCGGGTGGCGGGCGGTGAACGCAGTCGAAACCGAAATGTAAAAATTTTATTAATTCTCCTTTTCAATTTAATTTCGCGAATGAGTTTCAAAGCTGGAGAAATGTTCGTAGCACAAGAACGTCTCGACGCAGCGGCGCATGGACAACTTCTAAAGCCTTATGACACACGCCACGCGAAAATGTCTCTTAATTACCACTCAGTAAGGGCACTAGTCGCAAATGTTTTTTCCTCGGGACTTTGTCGGCGCGGGACGTCGAGTGGTGCACTTCAGTTTTAACGTGTGGTACGAGATAACTGTTATTTACATGTCAAAAAATAATATCATTACAATTTGTTTGAAGATAGAAATAAAATTTTAAACAGATGTCCGTACTTCTTTTTTAAATGTGAAGGAGGCAAAAGCACAGTGGGACATTTAATAAACATGAATCATAGACGCTCATAGACAGCATACGCAATACCAGAAAACCATAGATGTGTTTTAGTCTTTTGATTGCTGTAGTTGCATAGGTATAATTTTAGCAGTCAAAACTTTGCGAATATGTAGTGGTGTACTATATACTGTGAATTGGGCTACTTATCGACTGAGAGCAAAAGTATTTAGAGTGAAATTTCTTTCAGTCGAACTACGATAAAGTTAGAGGTTGAAAGAAAAATAAAACAAAGAAATTTCTTTTACATTTTAATATAAAAAAATAACAAACTTGTGATACAGACGTTGATATTTAGTACCATGGTTTGTATTCACAACTCGCCTCATCTCGTGACTTGCAGCGTAGTGTTTGTTCAAAAACGAAGGTTTTCTTGAGACGTCCCTATATTAATTTTCCGGCTGCATTTCTGTCAGTTTATTTTTCAACTGTAAGCTAATTTTACGCTGGATGTTGACGTTTATGAAATTAACCTGCGGAATTCGTTGAGCGTAAAATAAACATTGCCTCTTTTCGAGAGTTTTAACTTTTTTCATTACTGTACCATTTCATACATGTTTTTATCTATTTTTATTCGCATTTAACATTTGAAAAAGGGCAATTAATATTTTAGAAATCAGTTAACTTTTTACACATGAAAAAACATTAATTCGTTTTACCTGAGACACCAATTATTACGTTTCCATATGTTTCGAAACATTTCTAACACGACATTACAATAGAATCACTTCGACGGAGAAGTTGGTATAACATGATATATTCAAATAATTCAAGATCAGCTCAAATAGATCACGGTACAGTCACCTACAGTAGACAACGTATATGATGCGTACACTCGCAAACAGTGTCGCCGACGTGCGTCACAATTTACTAGCTGCAGAACTAACAAGACGCCCATTGTGATAGGACAATGGGAGCTTAACGCGAACCCGTTTAGCCTTTGTCAACGATGACACCGCCGGCGCGTTGTAGTGACGTGCCTGATCAATATTAATCTTCCGATAAACAGATCGAGAACGCGCTTTACATCTAAATGCGAGTGAATGCTTTTTGTGGTATTGTCAATTCATCTATATCAAACACACAATCGAACGTTGCTTAGGAATTTTGACTGATGATGTAAGTTCTTGTAGAATTATTTGGTACTTGCTGTTTAGAAATATTTACGTAGTTTATTATGATGATGATTTTAAATGTAAAGATTTATTACTTTGACTGTAACTATTACAACTATGTTTTAATTCATTTTTTTAAAACTATTTTCATCATATTGGTAAACCACAAACGGCAAGGTTCAAATTATTAAATAATTTAAAACACACCGGACTGTTCACATCACTAGTTGCAGAACGTGTAGGTTCAGATAGAGAGTTATGGCGCTGCTTCGATCCAAGATGTGTGACGTCAAGCGCGTATTAACACTTCAAACAAAATTGCTGGATCAAAATTAGCCAGAAGGCAGCAAGTGAGAATGTATTATAGTTTTAAATACATTTCGTTTACCTATATTTTATTCATTATGTTTCTGATTTATTACGGATAACTAATCAGATTTTATTAAAATTCCAAGTACTGTACATGTTATAAAATAAGTAGAATAGATTTAACTTGTAAGGTATTTAAATTATAAAGTGTAGAGTGCACGTGAGCGGTGGTTGGTGTTACAAGCGATAACTTAAGGAGGGAGCTTACAGCTTAGGGTATAAAGTGTAACTAGCTTGCAGACACATTATCTTGGCCTCCTGTGATCTCGGCGTCACTTGAATTTATTCCGGGGAGAATCCTTTCAGGTGAGGCAAGGAATAGTTAATGCGGGACTTTGCTGAATTTCAGAAAGCGGGGTTTAAAGGAAGTGAATGTAGTACGTTATGTTTTAAAATATTCTTTTAACGTCCGGGATATATAAAAGGTTTTTTTACAACTTTATAAAAGGGTTTCAATCGATTCAATTTGAAAGGTCTCGTCGAATGAGAATGTTATATTTAATGGATTACAACATTCAAGTGACTTTGGAAGTTAACCCGATAGGAATTGGTTTCACAGAGAATTTATAAGCGGTATTACCAATTTAAAATTTAAATTCTTATGATTTTTAACATTGTATTTACACGAAATCAAACTAGAACTATAGATTATGTGTATAACACAATTAAAAAAAAAACAATTATAACTACAGTAAAGCTATTGCATAATATCGAGTTCGTGGCATCAGACTACGTCCGTGGAAACGAAGCAATTGCTGTCTCAGCGGAGTTACAAGACTTGAGAGCTTGTTTCAATCTATTCATCGTTGAAAATATTGTAATTGGAAAATCAGGAACAAATTGCGAACTTTAGATCGTTCAGAAGGCTGTCTTTGCGAACGCAAAAGATTACCTTTAGTCCCTGTCAATCTGTCAACGTCATTTTATCCAGATAAGTTATGATTTTGTTACTACGGAGATTTATGACGGTGTAATAAAATTATCAAGTACTTTGTTAGGTTCTTACATTCACGATAGTAAATAGAACAGTATCTCTATTGATTTGATTATGGTTTAGGTGTGACAGTGGTTACACATGACCGTGTATTTTTTTTATAATATGAGATGGCACACGAGCAAGCGGCCACCTGAATCCACCGAAATGGAAAGCGACCGCTGCTCATACACATTCGCAATTGCAGATGCGTTGCGTACCCTTAATTGTCGGAGGAGACGCACATAAAGAGGAAATCCGTGTATTCTATTCGTCCTTAACGCTGTGAAACACGACGGTTACACTATTGTTTTGCAATACAATTTAGTTGATAATCTTGCATTCAAACAGTGTGACCTATTTTTTTTTCAACAACATTGATATATCATGGACGTTATTATGCGATATCGTTATCAATTAAACAACGTTTTATAAACAAACATTTTGATAATCCCCAACGCGATAACTCACACGTATCTGGCAACATTGTAGCTTACCTCGTCAGTCGTTCACAATTAGATTAAAATATTCAATTCATAACAAGACAAGGGGCTCAGGTTAACGTAAATAAAGACTTAAACCTAGGAAGCGTCGCTCTCCAAGTTATAAATGAATGAAACGCGAAAGACTTAGCGGATGATCAATCAACGTCTCCGGGGATAAAATGAAGTTATGTCTCCTCCGTCGCTTTCATTATTGTCTAGAAATGTTTCGGGAGTTTGCTGTTTCTTTAAATGTTATTCTAAATTATTTTCATCTGTAGAAAATAACTTCTAAAATAGTGTTTACTATATAATAGATACGGTTTAATATTTTTACTTACATCTCAAAACCTTAACATTCAGTCGACTAGTGTTTAAAAAGATAATCCGTTTAGTGATACAGCCATTCTCCAGCTCATCCGCGTTGCACACGAATAAATTCAAGTGTCCGCGGCGAGGATCACGGACGGGTATAATATGTCTGCAAGTTAGTTATAGTTTATACGAGGCAGTACCTTTATTGTACGAGCATAAGTTATAGCTTATTACACCAACGAGCTTTGCGATTTACGACTAGACTAATGTTTAATATTTGGATATAGTCGTAGAAGCTCCGCTCTCGGGTTTACGGTAGTCAGCAGATAAGGAAGTGGGAGGTTATTTGAATGTTAATTATTACAATGCGACCACAATAACATGATAGGTAATCATGTGACAATCCTACATGTTCATTGTCTTTTTTTATTTATTTAAAATAAATTATTACTTTATTTGGTGTTCTGTTTGTACCTGACATAGTTCTTTGTAGTCCGCGGTTGTCTATGACGGATGACTTTCGATATAAGGTCGCACGTGAAAGGTCGCTTACAAATAAAGTTCTGTTGCGCTTTGGCGGTTTCAATGGTATTACTTATCTTTGAACATTGTAACCATTAAACGGGTTTTCCATGTTTATACAATTTACACAGGCACGCTTATTTTGAATGGTAGAAATAAGTTATCCAACGTCTTTAAAAATTATGTAAATGTACGTTTTAAAAATGCAATAATTGATTTCTCTATTTATTAACTAAACATAAAAATTAAATCCGTGACTTAAATAAAACACATATATAAGAAGAGAGACGTACTGATTTTATCTTGCGAGACGTTGATTGATTTTCCTGTAATCGTATACAACCTTCATTTATTATTCAAAGTCTTATTAAAGTACGAGCATATTGTATGAAACTTTGTACACTATCTCTTTAACAAATTAGTCATATTGCGTGCCAAATGCTTATCCTATGTTTTACACAAAACATTTTATTACGTAACGCAAGTTTGCATTTCTTATTTTATTATCACAATAAAAAAACTCACAGATTTACTTATACAACAGGTAGCAGTGCCTAATTGTACGGGAATTTAAACCATTGTCGTTACATAACCAATTAAAAAAAAGTTAGTTCAGAAATAATTTTGTTTGTCCCGGATAAGGGCTTATACACATTAGTCTTTGGATATTTTTCCAATTGTCACTTATATTAATTAATGTATCCTAAATAAACGTAAAGTAACCCTTAAATTGGAATAAAATTATATGAATAAACATGATGTATTATTCAAATGAAGCTTACATTCCTTCACCAACAAGAGAACGTTAAGTCCCAGCCAAGACTAATATATAAGCGGTTAGTTACAGAGCTCGGTCAGTTGAATTTATTCCTCAGAGATAACTCTCGTGTGAGCGAAGTTACAGTTAACCTCGTAATTTATGCGACCTTAGATAGCTTGCATTTACGTCACCTAATATATAACCTATTCCTAATACCTAGAAATACTACATATTTCTTACTCGGACATCTCATTATTGACGGTTCGCTTGTTTTAGGAGATTAATAAATATCGGAAAATTATAATTAGTTTGTTCTTGATATTCTCTGCCGTACTCAGAGTTAAAGGGTCTCCCTTCGTGAGGATTTAATATGAAATTATTACATTAAGGGTCTTACTGAGTGACCAATTACTCTCGAGAGCAATTATTTAGCATAATTTCAATTGAAAAAATTGAAGTCTCGTTTCATTCATAAATGTGAACACGATTGTGAATTATTTTTCTGTAAATACGAAATCGTATACTAAAAATAATAATAAATGGAGTAAATGAATGACTCGTTGCTCGTTTGAATAAATATCTGATGGCAGGGAAACGGGGTTAGTTCATTACGAGAGCTGTGAGCTGGTAGCTGGTAGGTGGTAGGTGGGAGGTGGCCGAGCGCCGAGCTCCAAGCGGCAGCGGCAGCGGCACAATGCGGCGCCACTTCAGCACGTACGCGCGCACTTTGTGTTGTTATTAAAAAGCCCAAAACTCGTTCCATTTCGACGTTTCCCCGTTATGAGTTGAATCTTCACAGTTTTAAATGAACCCGCAACTATTGTTTTAAATTGTACATTTATGGAGCAATTAAACTTCAATGAACTACATACGTGTTTTCATTTCTAATTGAGAATGGAGACGGGTATTATCAAAGCACAGATTTCGATGGATAAGTTTAACGTGGAAGGTTTTAGGTATTATGGCCGCCACACACGTACATTTTGAAACAGAACATCACGACAGCCTTGAAGTCAGAAGTATTCTGGCCGCCTTCAGCATTGTGGCACTAATAAACGCAATACTCGTACATCCGAGTTAGGTGCCACTCAGATCTGCGCACTAAACAGTAAAAGTTCTAATAGATTTTTTAATTTAATTGACAAATGTTTATAAAAAATGCAACATTGTTTGCAACTACAGTATTCAATATATAATTATTTACAAACTTCCACTGACCCACAAAATGAAATAAACAAAAGAATTATGTAATTAATAACGTACAAATGAAATAAGAAAAAACTTTTGAGTAATTGATAAATTTCTCAAAGGTTATGAAAACAAGAATAAGTAATAGCGCAATAATCAATAATTAATTTTACCCCAGCCAATATAAACAAATGATAACTAGCAATATGAATAACAACTCGTTAAATGTAGCAAATTAATTAGTTGTTTATTGCGAGCGCACGTCTCAACTGTTCGATAACTTTCATTAATATTATCCATTAAGATATTTTCAATAGTTTTTAACGAATACAATAATATGAAAGTCTTAAAAAATGCGACACAAAAAGAATTTAATTTTATTTACTCTACTCGTCTCAAACTTAGTTGATCAGCCGGCGCCAGAAGTGACGATCGAACAAGGAGTTCTGAGCGGAAAGTTGAGTGCAAATGGAATGTTCTACGAATACATTGGTATTCCTTACGCTACTACGAACAGTAGTATGCGATTCAAGGTAATATAATTTAAAGACAGAATAATCATGCATAATTCTAATGTTATCTTACTTCTTACTAATATACCAAATTCGAAAGTTAAATTCGGCATATATGCAGAACAGATATAAAGGAACACATAGGCTACTGTTTAAGTTTTTTTGGTTCTGCGCAAATAGAGCCGCGGGCGACAATTACTAATGGTATATTTTTTCAGGCTGCGGGTCCACCACCATCTTGGGAGGGGGTTTATAAAGCTGTAGATGAGATATACTTTTGTCCTCAACCAGTTTATATCGGATACATTGGTGTCGAAGATTGCCTCAAGATCAATGTGTATGTACCCACTATGGCTAAAACACCATTTCCAGTCATGGTGTACATCCACGGTGGCACCTTTATTGTTGGCGGTGGAGGGAAATTGGTATATGGACCTGATTATTTAGTAGAAAAAAATGTTATAGTAGTCACGTTTAACTATAGATTGGGCGCACTCGGATTTTTATGCCTCGGTATTAAGGAAGCGCCTGGTAATGCAGGCTTGAAGGATCAAATAACAGCTTTAAAATGGGTGAAGAAAAATATTGCTGCTTTTGGTGGTGATCCTGATAATATAACGTTATTTGGTGAAAGTGCCGGTGCCACATCTACTGCACTATTGTTAGCAAGCAATGCGACGTTAGGTCTCTTTAATAGAGCGATAGTTCAAAGCGGTCCGGCTCTATCTAATTGGGTCATAAACAAAAATCCAGTGCAAGTAGCAAGACTTCTAGCAAAAGCTTTAGGTTACGACGCTGAGAGTAGATTGGATTTATATAAAATATTTTCCAAGTTATCAATAAGAGAACTGGTGGGAACAAATGTAAGGATTCCTTCTTTAAAATATCTTGATACGCAGTTAATGCACCTGCCTTGTGTTGAAGAGAATATAGTTGGTGAAGAAGCAGTATTGACAGATTTACCTTATAATTTATTTAATAATAAATCTGCGAGTGTTCCAGTTATATATGGATCTACTAGCAATGAAGGATTATTCTTGATATCCGAATATCGAGCAGACATGTATGAAAATAGAAATCAGTTTTATATGTTTGCATCAGATTTGAGTTTTAAAGAGGAAAATGATGCAGCAAATGAGTCGCAGAAAATTAGAAACTTTTATTTCGGAAATGATGAAATAAGTACAAAGAATATGAAGAATTTGTCCGATATGTATACACATTTGTATTTTGAAATGCCTTCCTTGTTTGAATCTAGGATATTGATAGATAGAACAAACACAACTGTATATAATTACTATTTCGATTACTCAGGAGCAAGAAGTTTCATGAAGATGCGTAGTGGTTACGTAAATGAAGCCGGAGCCTGCCATGGCGATGATCTCTTCTACATTTTCAAAGCAATGTTTTTACCTTACACTTTATTTCAAAGGGATCAAAAGATGATCAACACGATGACAACTTTATGGACGAATTTCGCTAAATATGGGTAAGTTAATCTTGATAAAACCTCATGAAATTTAAATATTTCTTTCTAGTTGTCTTCAGAATTATGTTCATCATCAGAACTAAAGTTTGACGCCGCCTTTGACGGTGGAAAACCTTCCGATTCTCATTCATATGCCAAGCTTAAAATTACTTAAATTTATTACACATAACTTCGTTGTATTTTGAAATAAAAATCTAAATATCAAATTCAACAGTGGTAGTGCCCGCTTTAACATCTTAGCACGAATGGGCCGGCACGCCCGGTGTAATACCACGACCACACAGAAGACAGGCGTGAAATGGAAGCAATTCCGTGTTTCGTCTGATGTGAGTGTGGTGCCGGAGGCCTAATTTAAGTCTCTTTCCCTTTACCACCCTTTTCTTATAAAGAGAGGTTGGGAAGAGGAAGTGGATTTGACGGTGGAGGAGATGCATAGGAAGGGGAAATATACTCTTTATGTGCGTCTCCTCCTCCGTCGGATAAGGGTAGGCAACGCATCTGCAATTGCGGATGTCTATGGGCAGCGGTCGCTTCGCCATTTTGGCGATTTCAGGTGGCCGCTTGCTCGTTTGCCACCTTATGTTATAAAAAAAAAAAAAAATATAATAAATGATAAGTCAATTGATTGCAGGGACCCAACCCCAGATGAAAAAGAACTTCAAGTTAAATGGATGCCAAGTAACAAAGATCAAATGAACTTTCTCTACATAGATGATGACTTGAAGATGGGTAAAATGCCTAATCCTAAACACTATCTATTGTGGAAGACTCTTTACGATAAATATCGAAAGCTTTCGATATAAATAAACTTGTTGATGCAAATGAAAGTAATTCTCCTTATGAAATGAAAGAATATTCATTGGTTAACGATTTTTTTAAATTAGTTAATCTTGCATTGATTTTTGTGTCAATCGTAAAAAAAGAGTAATCCGATCTCTTTAAAACTTCAGCAATGATTATAAACATAAAAATGCGAATGCGACACTAAAAAGGTCTAGAGTTGTTAATATCTTTAACAATATTCGTAAGAAATGCTTAGAAAGTAATTAACATTAAACGGGTAAGACACAAATTGTACTAATTATATGAACTTGTCACTTGCGCAAAGTCAACGTCGTATATCAGGATAATTATGTACAGTTGATTCAAGAACATGTAACGTGTTTAATTATTCATCACTTTCATAAATTTTATGCTAAATGTACTAAATCTCAGGTCCTTATTAAAATCAGACATAAGTTATTTTACTCATGTGTTATTTTACTTAAGAATATTTGTTTTGTTAACTAGTTATAAAGCTGATATGTTATTTATTTTATGTTTTCATAATTTACATTATCCTATTTTGTCCGACTGCAAGGCTAAGTCTTGTATTCCCTCTATTACTCTCTGTTCATTTATATTTCCAGCCAATCTTATGTGACATAGTGGTCATACACATTGTTGGCTCGTGTAACATTTTAATAATATGCAAACGTATAAATTATTAAAATTCAGCGCGGCGCCATCCTTCGGGCGGTCACGTGCGGGATCGGGTTAAAATTCAACAGTTTTCGCCTTTCGTGTAATTTATTCAAGTAAATTTCGGACAGGCGACGAGAAGAGAAAACGGCCTGTTTAGGTCGCCACCAAGTGGCAAGGGTGGCATTTCATATTAGCGAAATGCCCTTTTATTTTTCACTATACTTTTCCGTCCTAATTAGGCTAATAATTTAACTACATTTGAATAAGTCTTCTTGTAAATGAATTTAAAACAAAGTATTACGTCTAAGCAAATGAAAACTAATCTAGGAAAATCAACATTGTAATGAATATCAAAATTAGTTATCAATTGTGAGGCAAATCATAAAGAAAAGAATCCGAGCTAAGTTTTTTCAAAGTCAATGTAAATTATTGTTCAAAGCAATTTATACCCGGATACGTAGAACTTTTATTTTCTTAATCAATGATAGGGAATTCAATAGGCACGGGTCAAATTACCATAAGAACTGAAAGCCTCTTCGATTTAAAATTTCCTCGACGGCCGATAGAAATGAGACGAGATTCCGAGCGGAGGTTGCTTTATTTGTGTTAAGATAGAAATCGACACGTCCATTAAGAAAAGTAAACGGTTTCCTTCGGAGACTCTCATTCAATAAGGGTGAGCAATTTCAATGCAAATAACACTGACGCTGGAAATCCACTTCTTTGTTTGTAATTTATTCGCCGCGATATTAACATCAAACCAATTAAAACATTGCTGACTGTGTCTCAAACAATGTAATCGCATTCTAAACGTGAAATTTACAAAAAGCACATTTGGAAAAATGATTACAGTTTAAATAACTTTAACATTACAACTGCCATAGTTCAGATAAATGTTTGTAACATACTTCGTATCTCTAGAATCATTTGATATTGATGTATTTGCATTGATAAATTACATAGTCTGGAAGAACATATAACGTACTTTGGTATTGATTTGGCGCAGACTGAGTCTTGGACATCAGCTAATTGTAGCTGTAATAGCTTTGATAAAAACAAAATGTCATAACTGTACTAAGGGAATGTTTAAAAAAAATTGCAAATAATTTTATAATCCAGTCGACTCTATGAAGTTCTTAGTTCCAATGACCAAAGGCCACTCAGTTCTTAGCACTTTGAGGATTAGTTTTTGAGTCGTCGGTAATAGCTGACTGCGCTCTCCGTCTGCGATGCAAATCGCTCCACAGCGAATCAATTCAAGGGTCCGTCTCTGTCTCAGCAGAATTCACCACTTTTATATTCATAAGTGACTAGAAAGAAAAAATGTAAAAGTTTCTCAAGAAAGTTATAAGTCAGATATGGATTATGCTGGAGAAAAAGTTTTGATTATATTACTTTATTTGTGTCGTCTTGACTAAACTCTTAATATTTGAAACCTGTCTTGTTTTCTGTTTGCATAAAGCAAAGTTTTTTTTTGAAACTTCTGCTATTCCAAAGTATAAGGCAATCGTAGTCCATATGAGTCGACATGAAAATAATATTTTATTTTTCACAATGCCATGTTATATATTGTGTCATAAAAAGGGACATATTTTCTTTAATAATGTAATATTACATTTAAGATTAGGGCATATTGTTAGCAAATCATTTATTTATTTACGTTTTCCATTAGGCAACAATAACTAATGGCTTCTTTATACATTAGGATTTTGCCCGTGGTCATTTTGCTTTGTAATAATTCTTTATACTCGTATGTTTGGGCCCAACGCGAGACTTACTAATTCCCTTTGTAAAGTCGACAAAAGGGCCCAACCTTTGAAAATGTGTTATAAGCCTTGCAGGAGGTGTACCGCAAACAAATTAATTAAGCGAATTTGTATCATTTTAAAGTTAAACATCGAATTTTTTTCATTAATTGGTTTGTTTGTGGCTGCCGACGTGCGAACAGAAATGAGAACGAAACCTTTACGTTAATTTGCATTTTAATTACTAAATATAAATTAGGTCGAAAAATTACATTTATGAAACATGAAGAGTAATATTTATGTTAAAAGGTAAAAATAACAGTCAAATAATTATGTACTTAAAATTGTTACAAGAAATCGACAGGTGCTGGGTAAATAACAACAATTAAAAGACTATGATTTGATCATTGAGTACATTCTATTTATATCTACGTCAGTTGAAGGCCAACACGCTTGTGCGACGCACGCGTTTGCAACTGAGCTCATCGTGATGGCGGTTACTGAGCAATAATCAGACCAACATGTCAATTATCCCACTACAAAGTTAACTTTACAACTATTGTTCTATGTGATAAAAAGTTATTGTGTGTTAACATGAAGTATAAAACGAATTTAGTACTATTTACATTGTTCGCTGCGAACTTAATCGACCAGCCGGCGCCTGAAGTGACCATCGCGCAAGGGACTTTGAGCGGTAAAATAAGCGCAGATGGAACTATTTTCGAATACGTCGGCATACCTTATGCTTCCACAAACAGTAGCACGCGGTTCAAGGTATATTTTTCCGTAAAACAAACGTACCGTTGTAGTTCATACTCCAAGCACTCAGTTTTCACTTTAGTTAATGAATATTCTTTTATCAAATACTTTCTACGTTAACTTGTTAAATGAACAGAGACATTAATGTAATGAAATTATTAACCGTATTTAAACTTGTCTTTATCAATAAAATTTACACAGCGTCAGATATTGAAACGCAATTATAAGACACAAACCAGTTGCAATAATTAACAATTAAAGTCAATAAACAATTCGTCTTTTTTATATACATAACTGCTTGTTTTCTTTCATTTAACGGTCAATCCTTATCAAAAGTAGATTCAAGTTCGTCTGTTGTTTTTATAAGATATGCCAAAATAGATAAGCTCAGATAAAGGTGTAGTTGATATTGTAATCTATTGGTTGTGTGCAACTTGCGGCTTGATGCACATTAATGAAATAAAACAAATTCCAGGCTCCGGGTCCACCTCAATCATGGAATGGTGTATTCAAGGCAGTCGACGAGATCCATTTCTGTCCACAATCTACACCAATTGGAGTGCTCGGCTCAGAAGACTGTTTGAGAATTAATGTTTATGTTCCGGCTTTAACTAAAAAGCCTTTACCTGTTATGGTATACATTCATGGTGGAGCATTTATATTGGGCGGAGGAGGAAAATTGTTGTATGGCCCTGATTTTTTAGTAAAGAAAGAAGTTATACTAGTCACTTTTAACTATAGATTAGGAGCGCTAGGTTTTACTTGTTTAAGAATAAAAGAAGCCCCTGGCAACGCAGGATTAAAGGATCAAGTTGCCGCTTTGAGGTGGGTCAAAAGAAACATAGCAGCTTTTGGAGGAGATCCGAATAACATAACATTATTTGGCGAAAGTGCTGGTGCAACTTCCACAGCTATATTATTAGCCAGCAATGTTACCGATGGGCTAATCAATAGAGCAATTATTCAAAGTGGATCATCTATTGCTAATTGGTCAATTAACAGAAATCCTGTCTGGGTAGCTGCTTTATTGGCTAAAACGTTTGGACTCGAAACAGATGATCCACTGGAAATATATGAATTGTTTTCTAAAATGTCTTACAAAGAATTAATCTCAGCAAAAGCAAAGAAACCACTTACCAAATATTTTGACACACAGCTTTTGCAATTGCCCTGCGTTGAAGATATAATTCCTGGCGAAGAGTCTATAATCAATGATTTACCTTATAATTTATTAGCAAAAAAATCCAAGAGTGTTCCTTTAATTTACGGTTCAAACAGTAAGGAGGGATTCTTTTTAATATCCGGAGACACGGATGAATCGCTCGAAGAGAGAAACGGACGGTATTTGTTCGCGTCCGATTTGCTATTTCAGTCGGAGGATGAAGCGGCTATTGAAGCACAAAGAATACAAAAGTTTTATTTTGGCGATGACAGAATAAGCATGAAGAAATTAATGAACGTCTCCGAAATATATACTCACTTGTATTTTGAATTACCTCCGATATTTGAGACTGAAGTTCTGATCGAAAAAACTAATGCCGTAATTTACAATTACTACTTTGATTACTCTGGTGGTAGAAACTTTGTTAAGAAGAGAGCGGGATTTGAAAATGAAGATGGAGCGAGTCATGGAGATGATTTGTTTTATTTATTCAATTCAATGTTGCTTCCTTTTAGAATCAACAAAAAAGATTCTGAATTAATTGATACGATGACAACTTTATGGACCAATTTTGCAAAATATGGGTACGTGACATAATTTGTAATTACCATTCTCATTATCAAAACACAAAAGGTATCTGTGAAATCAACAAATCAGCGCTGGGTAGCGTGGTAACTATAACATAGTCACGTCTAATTTAGGGTGAGTTCTGAGCTCCTCTGTGGGAACGCATAATGAGTTGATGATGATTCTCATTGTCTAACAAGGATACTTCGTGATTATTTATATAATGATAGTGGGTAATTATGTTTACATTGTTTTAAGTAGTGCGTAGAAACGTTTGTCCTGACCTTTACATTAGGAGAAGTATGGTCCTATGAATAATGTAACGTATTAGTGAAAATTGATTGATGAAGGGTGGCATTGACGGATGTTATGGGTGTTAAAACTATCATCCAAAAACATTCAGAATGTCTAAACCAACAATTTTCTTTACTTACCAGTTTATCTAACTTTTTAAGTATTTGTGTTAAATTCAATTGTAACATTGATAGAAAAACATTACATTTCAGGGATCCGACGCCAGATTCTAAGTTAAACAATCGACATTTTCGTTGGCTACCAAGCAAAAGGAAAGAAATAAGCTTTCTTTACATAAACGACGAGTTAAAAATGGGTAGAATTCCGAATCCAGAAGCATACAACTTATGGAAGAATTTGTATGCCAAATATCGTAAAAAGGAAGTCGATTAAAATTATTTAGTTACATTATAAATCGAATTGAATGTGGGTGGCTACAAAGGAAGATTCAAGAAAGTATGGCTGGATTGTGTGAAAGAAGGGAGTGAATCCAGATATGACGGCTGATAGAGATGTATGGAAGAGCAACACATACTCTGCCTGCCCTCCGTAGTGGCAAAGGCAGGTTGATTAGTTGCATTAAAAAATTCAAATGATATTGAAGTATTTATTACATTCCTTTCTGACCCTGAAGAATTGAAAAAGTATTTAATGGAATGCAATAGCTTGCAAGTGTTATATTGCAGATATAAATGACGATATTGGATATTACTTTAATTAAAAATTAATACGAAAACGTTTTATTTACTAATAGTGGTTTTCCAGCTTGTTTATTTAATTCCAGAATCATGTTAAATGAGTAATTATTTTAAGTGATGGTTTGTTTGGCAAGTTAGTCGGTTAATTTGACAAGTGAGGTCCGCTGGGTTCTTTTTATCGCCGCGAGAAGGTTTATTGGGAATGGCGTCAAGCCACTGTTTCGTTATGTTTTAATTCTCCAGAGTACTAGATGCTAAGAGATTAAATCAGAACATTTGCATTGTATGGTTTTATAAAGTTACTGATAACTTTAGTGGCAAAGAAGACCTATGGTACTGATACCATAGGTCTTCTTTGCCCTATTATTAATAAGGCATTAGATTGTAACAAATATGGAGGATAGAAGCAATAACAGCGATGTTAAGATGGCTTGCTGCAGAGCATCAGATTAGAATACAGTAAACTCTCGTGTATACTTGAATGCTATTATTTTGTTCCAGACCAAAAGAATATACTATTGAACTAACCTCTTACAATCCAAGTGGTATATCAGAATTCAAATTAATCTTTTACGTCAGAAGCACTTCAATGGTTTTGTCATTGAAAACTTTGAGAAATTTCTCGGAATCTACATCAATGATTGAATTAGAAAGTTTTTCAATTAGATTAGAAAACATATAAGTTAACGACAGTTGTAAAATTGAAAAATAACTTAATTTTTTATAAGTCTCGTCGAATATTACATAGAACTTACATATTTAGACAGAAAGATGCATATGCCAATGATACTACAGACAGATTGGAGATTATTTCTATAGCTTCTTCAAGGGAAGTATAAAATTTTCTCATCAAAAGTCATAGCGGTTGTTAAAACATAACTTAACTGATTTTAACCTGACGTTAAAATATGCAAAATTATTACAAATCCGAACTTTAACAGCATAAAGAACATTTCAAAGCACGGACTGAAGTGTTCCCCTCAGGCCGTTCATTCCGCGGCCTTAACAAGATATCGCCCTTCGTTTGGTTGCATGTTGCCCCGGAGCCGGCTAATTACTACATTTTATATGAATGAAGGTGATAAAATGGAATTTATAAGACTTCTTAACAACACTGCTAGGCGGAATAATGATTATTTTTATTTTGAAGAGAGAAAAGACTAATTAATAATTATCAGAACACTGTTTTTCAAGGGTTATCTTGCTTTTTCGTTATGTCATGTATGTAATTGCCCAGTATTGAACATTGCCGTTATTTGCACATGCCCATTGTGTACAGTTTGAATGCACAGAGAACATTACTAGGTATTTTGATTAGATAAATCGTAATTGTTTATCTTTACTTTGAAAGCGTACAATATTTCCTTGAATAATGTACGTCAATGTTTTTCAATGAGAGTGAAATACATTTCCAAGTTTCGAGGATTCTCAGTTAATTTATCCACATCGCTGAGAGCGGGCGACAGACGAAAGCCCTTAAAGTGTTTTATTAGCAAAGCCATATTTTTGAACGTGAAAAATATCCAGGTGTTTGTCTTACGCAATCAAGCAGCTGCTGATGAGAAATGGTTTCACATTACGTTCTCAATTCGACCAAATTTGATTAGAAAATTAGCTTCAAATGAAAACGTATTTGTTCTCGTTGCTCAAGGTGCTGAGTATTATTTTAATTAATTTTATGAATTGCAACGTCGAGAGCTTATAATAGATTCATGACAAAACGCTGCCTTTCTATGAACGGAGCAACACAGAGAGTTTTAATGTCAGGTACATTTATAAAATTACTGAGGAAATCTTGACTACGTTCCCAAGAACTTAGAAACTTAAACGACAAACACCTCGTTATGTTATCTGCTCATTTTAGCAAAGTTACTTTCGCCTCAGAGTCTAACAATCGTGAAATTTTCTAAGTATAAAAGCAGTAAAATACAATTTATAGCTTTTGTTAACAAAGCTCACCTTGTAAAGATAATTGCAACTTTAGCATAGGTTATGGCTAACTCTGCGTGTTTCTGGATACTTTTATTAATTAGTAATTAGAGCTTCGGTAACAAAGTTTTGTAGATGCTGTTTTAGAATATTAAGGAATATAGTGTATTTACGTTAAATACGTTAGGTTTTCATTGCACAAGTAACTGGATATCTATTTCTTTATGAGTGAACGAATTGGAAATCCTGTATTAGTATTTTATGGACAATGGCCATTGAGTCAGGTCGAGATACCTAGGATTTTTTAGTAAACAGTGAAAACGTCTGAAAATATTATTACGAACAGCGAGTAAAGCTTCCTAATTACATTCGCTAATGCCGCGGCTGGTGGGGCTGAAGGGCTTACGGCGATATCGTTCTACCAACAGATACAACGTAGATACAATTTCATATTGTATTTCTACTTATAACACGATACGACTGGTTATTCTTATAAAATTAAGGTCAGATTGCAGTTTGTTTGTGATAAAATTAAGTATCGAGAGTAGTAAGATAGTTTTTAAAATAATCAACTAACTAAAAGAACATAGTTTTGTCTACACTATTGACTATAATCAAATTTGTCCCGTGTCTTTTACTCTTTCTTTATGTCTTGTTTATTGCTTTTTCGTTTTTAAACTTTTTATCACTTTTAAATATCGTAATGTCTTTTAATTCCCAGTTGGATATTCTCATTCTCTATTCATGGTATCTTATGAGATGCAAATACGTTCCGGAGCGGCAGCGCGCCGCCGGCCCTCTTTAAGGTCCCTTGGAATCCGACTGGATACCTTAATCGTTTTAATTCCTGCTCTTGTTCACCTTTGGGACCATGAATATATTATTTAACAAATTATGCACAAAACACTTATATGTTGAAGTAACACGTCATAAATTACATGTTACAATTAAGGGCCTATTTAACATTTTGTATTTCATTTCTTGAAAACTGTAGAAAAAAGTTCATCAGTTTTTCTTTTCTCATGTAGAGTTAGGGCTTGTAACTAGTAAATGTAAATGTAAACTGATTAAATTATATACGTTAAAGTATTAATTGGTAGTGGTCTCATAATATCAAATTATAAAACGTTTCCAAACAATTTTTAATTTACTCGCAAAGTAACGCTCATTTAAAAACGTAATACATTAATATCGTTTTTAAACTTGACTTTGGCATGTGTAGTTTCGTATGAATATTTTTATAACGTACATACATACACATACAAGCCCCCGCGTATTACTCTCGACCCGCCTAATTAGTTCGAGCCGGAAAATTTGAGAACCGCTGAATAATTATGAAAGGCAAGAACCTTTGAATGATACCAAAAAAGTGACGTAGCGTACTGCGAAATTATTTAAACATTTCTGAATAACTGGTTCTTTTGAATTACGTTAACTTATGAATTTATAACTCTATTAAATTGGACAAGATGACATTAAAAAATGTTTTTCTTTAGGTTTAGCAAAAATAATGTACCTTAAAGTATACCTTTCTATTAAATGTAGTGCTTTTAACACATGTCTAATTCAGACGGTTTTATACGTTAGAAGCTCTGAACCCTTTTTTAAAACATTTTCATATTATAAACCGTAGAGTTTCGCTTTTAAAGTACATTTTGCATTGATGGAATATTTAAGATGAGGTCGTTTGAAAGTTTTTAAGTGTGAAAGCTAGTGTCGGCACAGGCGCGAACTTAGCCGCTATCATTTAATATTAAGCAGATTGCTCCGCACTTCACATCGTAGGGGAGGCGCTCCAAGCCTGGAGGAGTGTATTACCACTTAAAGGATGATCTATATTTATTATTCTATAAAATACTTTTGTATTTTAGTAGACATTTTGAACCCAGACTGCAGTGATTGTTAGCGTTTTTCCCATACGATGCTATAGTAATGAGAAGTGTTTCTTATATGTCTGGCTAAGTTTTTACTCTGGCAGACTGAAAACAAGCCGTTCAACCTCTCTACTAATAACCATGCAAAGTTAGTTAATCCACGTAGGAAGGTAAAGTGAGAAATGCTAATCCACAGATATGTGGTACATGTTTTTTAAAACAGCACACGGCTCATACGCAAATTGTTGGAGCTCGTTGCGTCATAATTGGTGTAGTTAGCGACATATTTGTGTGTTACGACGCGCGCCTCATGAATACATAATGGTTTGCGGGAAGAGGGAAAAATTATACCGAGGGAACGAGTGGGGTTGTCATTAGAGAGAGCTCGTCTTCGGTAAATTAACTTTATATTTCAGTAACTACACGATGGAGTTACCTAAAAGCTGGCAATTATTTTTAGTCGCTCTGCTTGGTCCGGGTATAATTACTTCAGGGCTTTGTTTGATAAATAATATATTAGGTTTGTATAAATTTAGTGTGTTCGTGGTCAATTATAATTATTTGACACGCTGAAGTTTAATTAGCAAAGGTTTGTTGTTTTTTTAATTTAATTGCAATAAGCATCAGGCATAGTTTAACTATTATTGTTAACATTTCTGCATTTTAAACAGTGTAGTAAATTTTTAATGTTTGAATGAAAGTCTGTTCTGTTATTATACGCGTTTATTTAAAATTATAAAAGAAACTGTGTAGTCTTTCGATAACAAACAAGATAAGTTGAAAAGCAAAATGCCGGAGTCGAAAGTAAGGTTAAGTGACAAGTTACAATTCTTATTCAACTGCAAGTTCAACTGTGAGAAATGCACGCGCTCGCGTTGCTGGAGGCTGCTTTGTGCTTGGCCACTTAAAACTTTTTGTAAGTATAACTTTGTATTACAAATTCTCTCAGCTTGACTCAATATTTATTGTTTTCTTAGAAATCACAGTGAAATGAGTATTTTGTAATATAAAAAAAATATGTACCAATAAATTCAACTTGTAAAACTAACGTAAACCCAAACAAATAACGACCGAACATGTGATAAAAAGTGTATAAG